TAAGGGCATGCTCACTGTAAGGTAAATCAGTGAATTCACTGTTGCCATGTGACTTTCTGAATTGAGAATCCCACATATATCAATAAGAGATGAGTTGTCACTGTGTATCAAATAATCGAGTAAAATATCGAGAAAACCAAAGCCTGTGCACCAGGTCACATGACTTCGCAATGACAAGCCTTTCCACGATTTGACTACTCATTGTTTGAAAAAATGAAGCTTATGTAGGCAATGTTGTGTTTCACTTAGCTATGCATCATTCGTTATTACGACCTACTATTTCTATCAACTGGAAAAGTATGACTATTTGAATTTCTGTTGTCATTTGGAATTATTTTAAAATCAACTTTTGAATATTCGATTTGTAATATTTTGGGAAACATTTACAATCTCAACTTTTGAAATCAACTTTAAAATAATGGTGGATCTTGTGAGTGAAACGTGGGTTACGTAGGAGTACTTGGCCACCAATGTTTATGAATATCATGGTGCATTCAAATCTATCTGGAAATCTGGTGCATTCAAATCTGTCTGGAAAACTGGTGTTACACGGTAATTTCGAAAGTGTTGTTCTCTTTGGGTATTAATCCGAAAATTAACAAATCAGCGTCATTAGAACTGATAACAATTCTAGTTTCTATACTAAGAGAATCGTCAATTTCTTCAAAAATGTGCAGAAAACAATCTGTTTGGGTTTAATTAATTCTAAATAGTGATTCATCCCAACCAAATCAAATAAAACCAATTGGGTTTTAAACTTAGTCCCCTAACTGGACCAACCACTTGGGTTTGAGCTTGTTTGTCCAGTCCCTGAAGTTTAGTTTTCTGTCAACCTCTCATTCCTTACCAGAGTCATCATTTGTACTGGACTTACAAGAATTGGAAGGTGACTCTTTCTTATTCCCTGATTGGAATTCTTTACGTAGAGGATCCCTATTTAACGAGGCGCAGTTAAGGCAAGCTTTTCACCGAGCTACCTGTTCTGTTTTATGTGTTATTGAAGGCGGTAGTTCGTTTGTCTGAACTTTATTAGTCCCCCAACTGGACCAACCACTTGGTTTTGAGCCTGTTTGTCCAGCCCCCGAAGTTTAGTTTTATGTCAACCCCCCATTCCTTACCAGAGTCATCATTTTTACTAGACTTCCAGGAATTAGAATGCGACTCTTTCTTCTTTCCTGATGGATATTGAAATTCTTTACGTAGAGGATCCGTATTTGACGAGGCCCAGTTACGGGAAGCTTTTCACCGATCTACCTCTTCTGTTTTATGTGTTATTGAAGGCGGTAGTTCGTTTCACCGAGTTTAATTTTCTGTCAACCCCCCATTCCTTACCAGAGTCATCATTTGTACTGGACTTACATGAATTGGAAGGTGACTCTTTCTTCTTTCCTGATGGAAATTGAAATTTTTTACGCAGAGGATCCCTATTTAATGAGGCGCAGTTAAGGGAAGCTTTTCACCGAGCTACCTGTTCTATTTTATGTGTTGTTGAAGGCGGTAGTTCGTTTGTCTGAACTTTATTAGTCCCCCAACTAGACCAACCACTTGGTTTTGAGCCTGTTTGTCCAGCCCCCGAAGTTTAGTTTTATGTCAACCCCCCATTCCTTACCAGAGTCATCATTTTTACTAGACTTCCAGGAATTAGAATGCGACTTTTTCTTCTTTCCTGATGGATATTGAAATTCTTTACGTAGAGGATCCGTATTTGACGAGGCCCGGTTACGGGAAGCTTTTCACTGACCTACCTCCTCTGTTTTATGTGTTATTGAAGGCGGTAGTTCGTTTCACTAAGTTTAGTTTTCTGTCAACCCCCCATTCCTTACCAGAGTCATCATTTGTACTAGACTTACAAGAATTGGAAGGTGACTCTTTCTTCTTTCCTGATGGAGATTGAAATTCTTTACGTAGAGGATCCCTATTTAACGAGGCGCAGTTAAGGAAAGTTTTTCATCAAGCTACCTGTTCTGTTTTATGTGTTTTAATTATTCACATAATTGATCCGCACATTAATCCATTCATTAATCCAGAACATTCATTAACTCATTGCAATTCAATAAAGAAAGTCATGAACTAATAACTGTAAATTACTATAAATGTAGTTATTTCATAAACTTCAAGTTCATAAAACAAATACTTGAAATACATCCGTACGTTAGATGAACAACAACATTGTCTTACACTCCAGTAACAAACATACAACACAACGTACATACAAACATATATGAAAGATAACGGTGTTTGATTTCTTATTCCTCATCTGACATGTAGTAGTCAGAGAGATATTTTTCATTGTTTAAGACATTATTTCGCTCAATCACTGTCAAATCTCTGTTGCTTGCTTCTGCCAATGCCGCCTCACAGCAGCTAAAATACTCTCAGCTCAATCAGATATCAAAGTCACTCCCTATCGATCCATGACAATATGTTCCTTGATATTTGAAATGAAGAACGACCAAGACTCCAAACTCTCCCTGTCGACAATAGCGAATGCAAGCGGTAATATTTTGCCATTGGCAGTGACAATTGTTGCTACAAGCAACACACCAGTGTATTTCCCGTATAAAAATGTACCATCTATGGTTATAACAGGCCTACAATGTCTGAATCCATCGATGACGGGTTTGAAAGGCCAGAAAACAAAGTGGAAGACGGGCATAATGGTTGTATTTCCGGTATATCTATGCTTCCATTGCACAATGGTGCCAGGATTAGATGTTTGTAATGCATACATGAATTTAGGCAACATCCTATATGATTCATCCCAATCCCCGAATACCATTCTAATTGCCTTTGCCCTTGCATGCCACGCCTTCTTGTATGATATACTATAGTTCATGGTCTTTTTTATATCTTCGATGACATTCTTAATGGGCATATTAGGCTCATTCTGCATACGACAATACGTATGAGTCAGATTATTTTTGTGTGAACACTTTAAACAAACAAACAAATATGTATATAAATGTAAACATTTATTTTGTATACTCACCGCAACTTGTCCCAAAAGATGAGAAGCAATGTAACTGGAGCTAATATTTGTGTGGTCCCTGTTCATTCGTGGGTATAAACAATGGTGAGGACCCCTGTACTGCATTATTTCAAAAAAACCATGTATCCTACTAAGAGATGCACGCAACCACCCACTAAGCGGAAGTGGCGATAAGTCACTTCGTTCAATACCCATTTCAAAAACTTTTTCAAATTTTCTTAAGTTTTCAAAGGAAATTTTAATTTGTACTATAATGCTATTATATGTATTATAAATTCAGCTCATTAACTTTTTTAATCATATTCTGGGTGCCTGACCCCAAATATAGTGAAATAAATCAAACAAAATTAAACCAAAATTTTTTTATTTAAATAAAATAGAGTCAAAATTAAATATTTTGAGACAACATGATATTTTCATTTATTATTTTGAAGTCAATAAAAATATTTTTTTTGAATAAAATAGAGTCAAAATTAAATATTTCAGAGAACATGATCTTTTATTTGAAAGAACATGATCTTTTCATTTATTATTTTGAAGTAAATACAAATATTTTTTTTAATAAAATACATTCAAAATTAAATATTTTTTGTTTAATAATTACATTTAGTAGAACTTAGACATTTTGATTCAAAAAATATAGACATTAACAATTACTGAAGCATAATTTGATTCAAAAAATATAGACATTTTGATTCACAAGCATAATTTCAAAATTCCAATTTCTGATTTCAAATTTCAAAATATAAACATTTCATAATTTCAATTCTCAATTCTCAATTATATGAATTTCATAATATGACATTAACATATTTATGATTTATGAATTTATGAATTTCATAATTCCAATTTTCAATTCTCAATTCTCATATTTGTGATTTATTTAAAAAATTCAAAAAATTAAAAAAATTCCAAACCTGATTTATGATTCAAAAGCATAAAAATTCACAAGCATTAGAACCCTTAATAATGTGAAGCCTAAAATGTCATCTTAAAAGGATGTGTGAACAATCTGATATCGAGCAACAATTATCATTAGAACCCTAATTTCATAACCACACTGATAAAGCGTAAAAAATCCAAACCCAAATATTCAATTCACAAGCAACATCCAAAAATTCAAAAGCATAAAAAATTCCACAAATTCAAAAGCATTCACATTTCTGATTTCTGATTTCCAAACCCTGATTTCTTATTTCAAAAAATTCCAAACCCTAATTTCATAACCACACTGATAAAACCCTAATACATTTAATAATTCACATATAAAATCCTAACATTCACAGCAAATTAAAACACATTCACATTTTCACAAACACAAAAAATAAATACATAAAATTAGGGTTAACTGTCATACCATGGAGAGAGAGAGAGAGCAGAGAGCAAAGATCAGGGTGAGAGCAGAGAGTGAGAGCAGAGAGCAGAGGGAGAGCCAGAGTGAGAGCGATAGTGAGCCGAAGCAGAGCGAGATCGAGTGAGTCTGAGAGCAGAGGGAGATGGAGAGTCTATTTGAGACAGATAGATCGAGCAAGAGACGAAAAACCTAAGTGTCAAAAACATGAATGCAAATGAGGGGGTTTGTCTTTTATAGGAGTGTTAAAAACGCTTTTTCAATTAGCGTTTTCATTTAGCTACAGTGAAGTCGCCATTTGAAATAGCGTTTTATTCACAAAGGTGATGCACAGTGAAGTCACTATTCTGAATAGCGTTTTCTCAGGAATGAAGCGCTATTTGGAATAGCGTTTTATACGCGGCAAAAATTCACGTTAAAATCGCTATTCGGAACAGTGTTTTCTTAATGAAAATCACAATTCACAATAACACCTTAACTATTCATCAAATTTTCGCCTTCAAACAGTTAAAGCGCGATTTGTAATAGCGCTTTAGCTTAGTTTGAAAATTCCGTTAAAACTAAGCCTAGTTTGAAAAATAGGAGGCAAAAGAGGCTTAGTTTGGGAAAAGCCTCGTCCCTTTTTTTCTTATTTCCCAAATCTGAACTCTCTCTCTCTCTCTCTCTCTCAAAATCTGTCTCTCACTCGACTCTCTCTTTTGAATCTCTAGTCTCTCTCGCTCGAATCTCACTGTTTCTCTCGCTCGACAGTGAAGATTTGAAGATTTGATCGGTTCATAATTTTCTGTTGATGAAGATTTGAATCAATCTACTGTTGATGAAGATTTCGATCGATTCATAATCGAGATTCATAATTGGTAAGCCTAAGCACTTCTCTTTGTCTTTCTCTATAATGTTTGACACATCTTCATCAATTCAACTATGTAGTGTTTGACACATCTTCATCGATTGATCTTCATCGCTTGAATCTTACTCTCTGTAATGTTTGACACATCATCATCGATTAATCTGTAATGTGTAAATTGAAAATGAATTACTCTCTGTAATGGTTGATTAATCTGTAATCTTCATCTTCATTGATTAATCTGTAATGTTGGAAGGTTGAATCCAACTCTCTGTCTCTCTCTGTAATCTAGGGTGTTTGTTTTATGCCTAGTTGCTGAATTTCTGTGTTGATTTATTCTGAATTTCTGTGTTGATTTCGATCGTTCTTTAATCTGTGTTGTTGATTTATTAGGTAATTCATCTTGTTTTTGCTAATTTAAAGTCATACAGATAGATAGAGATATGATTTCGGTGATTGATCTTGTTTTTGCTAATTGGTTAGCTTATTTCTGGTGTTTTACCAGATTCTATGAATGAATATTAATCATAGAATATTAATCAAAAATTGATGAATGAATATTCTTAAATAACCATGGTAGTTAGTGAACTCCAGTTCAAATTTCCTCTCAAAATCTTCCCCAAAACACATAAGCACAATCTCCATAATTCTTTGTGATAGCTTTACTCTCTCAGTATCTCACTAGCAAAAAGCAAGTACATACATAAATAATGAACACAAGTTCAGTAAAGGTGAAAGAAAATTTTTTGGGTGGGTAAGTGAAAGAAAATATTGAAAGGTAAGCATAAAAAACAAAATCATGTTATTCTGCTTCATTTCAAATGTGAAGTCTGCATTGACATATATGCATAAAGGCATGAATGATCACATTTTGTATACCTCAACAGATAATGCATTTTGTATAACTTAGCAGATAATGCATTGACATATATGCATAAAGGCAAGAATAATACTTGAAATCTAGGAACTCTAAGAAAAGAACAAGTTTCAGAATTCATTTTGACTTGAAAGTATGAAACACACATACATACAGATATGAACCTCATGACAGAGTTTATATATTTCTTAATATTTGAACTACATTACAAATTTAAAGAGAGAAGTCCTTTTAGAACTATCCAAACTTGAGTTCCTATGTTGACTCCTTTGACTAAGCAATCTCTGGATGATACTTATTTGTTTATTACTTACTTGTTCATTCATTTTCTTTGATTGATCAGTAACACAAGTTCACTGATATTAATATACTAGAATTGAATTTCTTCCCTTTGCTGCCCAAATACCATCCAAATGTTCCCATCTCAGACAGATGACCAGAAATTGTGTTTGAAACCTTCAATACTAGAACATAACCACTTTCCAGGTGCCTCCAGAAAAGGTCCCACAATTCCTTTGGTGGAGGAAGGCCCTACAGAGTTAAGTCTACGGCAAGTAGTTTCTTTTTCCAGTGTAATGCCATCACTTCAAGACCAAACACCTAAACACCCCAACATCCTAATATTTTTAAAAAATAAATAAAAATGATTCAAGACATTTAAAACTCTGTGCTTCCCTCTGTTTCTTTAGAACCTCCTTATTTATATGTAGTAACATTCTCAATGCTCCAGATTGACCTGTCCCTTACTAATGAAAAACCATCTCTCAATATTTAAATAAATAATTAATTTAAGTAATAATAATAATCAGAAATGAACATATCCAAGATGAGGATGTTGATTTTAAAATTAAGAACAAGTGATAAGCACAAACATGTTGAACAGAAATGGATAATGATGCTGACAAAAACCAACCATATTAAATTAACAGCTAAAAAACATCACCATTTTACATTGTTGGTGTGAATTTAACAGAAATCCAGCTATTTCTCCTATGATATGATAGCACTTTACATAAGGACATTATTGCCACCCTGATTAGTGATTATAATGTAGAAAAATGGATACCGTAAGTGACCTGAATGCAACTGCATGCGGCTTTCCTAAATTGTATCAAAGAGGTCTGATCCATTAACTTGATCGTATATATAGCATTGCTCTCACATGCTTGATTTCACCTCATTTAATTCCAGATAATTTGGTGAGCCAAGAGGTAGTTTTGCAGATAGAAAAGGAAACTGCAAGCGCTGCAGCAGTTTGTAGCACAGGGAGCTTGTTTCCAGAATTAGACTCCATATCTGTAGCAGCATCTGTAATTCAGGTCTGAGAAAGATCAAATATCAACGATGATAAACTATGCATATTTTACCTTGGTCATTGTATTTAATCCCACAATAGAATTGCTGATTTCTATAGCCTCGGTTGAACTCATTGTAATTAATCCCACAATCAAACAGGGCTTCATATTTTACCTTGGTTATTGTATTTACTTCCTACTGCACTTGCAGTCAAGCTCGAATGTGAATCCTCATTTTGCTTCTCAGAACTTGAGATTAATAATGTAAACAATGACAACTGCTATTAGGAAGTGAGATGATTCTATGTATGATGAACATAACAAATAAGGGAAAAAAACATTGTTCCATGAATAGTGAGCAATCAGCAATTCTATAGAAGTCTATTGAATCAGCAAGATGTTAGATTGATTTCATTTCTGGCCATATCGACTTTGTGGACTTTATTTCCTCAGTTAGCTAAGTAATCTGTTAGTTTAGTTTTTAACTAGAAAGTTTACTACTTATTACTTAACCTAGAGCACCTTAACAAAACATAGAAAAAGCTAGTGGGGATTGGGACAAATCAGTTAAGTTGGGTTCATACACCTCTGCTATTTTGATATTTCCTTGATTCTAGTGAGGTAAACATATGTCTGATTCTATTTTGAAACTTCAGCATACATGTCAAGCAAGGGTTTTTCGATTTCTCTTAAGCTCCTATGTCAATTACCCAAGTAGACAAATATGATCATCTTGTTGGTGTAACCAAATTGCTTTTATAGTTCCATGGTTGCATACCTTGCTCTTAGTTTATCATTCTCTTCTGAATTCTCATAGTAGGACTTTTGCATATTATCTAGTGATAGTTCTTGCAGCACCTTTGTTTTACAGCATAGTTGCGAAGATTTTGCTCTTCCATTCTTCATATATTTTCTTGGTCCTCACAATCTTAATCATTCTAGTCAGCCAAACAGAATCATCATTATTTTCCCTTTCAACCTTACTCATTGGCTTTGAGCTTTGGGCCTTTCTTCTTGGAATGTTATATGACACATTTTCAATCCTAGCCATGCTTGTAAAGAAGATTAAAATAAAATGCATGCAGTGATAATTTGTTAGATCAATTAAGATTGCCAAAGTACAAAACTGATCAACTTTATAGTATTATGAATATGTTTAAGGTTACCTGTTTACTCTGTTGCTTGAGTAAAAATCTGACCTCCACTAATTAATATGTAGACGTGCTGTCCTGGAACAAAAGCACCTGATTTAGAAGAACATGATAAATTCTATGAGGACTTCAATATGGATGAAGTTGGCTCGAATATTGAGAACTATGAAGAAACATTTGGTGTAGCTCTTAATGATGCAGAACAACTGTTTGGTAATGATGGAATTGGTAGCTTGTTTGGAGTGAAGGACATGTCCGGTGCTGATTTGAACCATTGAGGCACATATGCAGCTGAGGTACTCTTGCTTTCTCTTATGTTGCTTAATCTTATCCTTATTATTCTCATCAGCTGTAATCGGCTCATTTGTTGTTGTTTTAGTCTTTCATCTCTTTCTGCTTTACAATGTGTCACTGTCAATGCATAGTTCTAAAATCTTTGTCCCATCGAGCTGTGAGAAATGGAACTTCGTTCATAAATATTGCTTTCTTTCCTATCTACCAAATTTTGGTCAAATGGAATGTTCTTGGTGGATATGGTTTCTTTTGGTATATGCCTGAGCTTTGTGCCCCCTAGTGACTACCTGTGGGACTTGAACCCATGACCTCTAGTCCATCAGGCTACCACCCTCGGGTGATAATGAAACTTGTCACTCAGTTCCAATATTTGACTGGTAAGTGCAACTTAGGTTTCCTGCACTTGAATTATAGTAGTGTTTGTATGAGTAAACCTTCCTTCGGAACCTCCATGGAAAAGCCCCCACCATAGCTTACTGTTACATCTCACAATTCTTGATGTTCAAATTGTGCCTTTGGCACTCCAATTACAACTCCTTGCGTCCAAGATGTGAGTTCAGGGAAATTCATGAGCTTGGGAAGCTAAAGTGGAGTTCCAGTGGGGCTATCCTATTTATAAACCAAGAGAATTTGTTAACAGCGCAAATATTTTGGAAAGTAAAAGATTTCTGGAATTGGGATGCGAATTATAGTGGGCAATAATATTTAATATTGTTGGCCATGCATCTTGATTCTTTTTTTATCTGTGAGTGTGCGTTTGTTTTCAAAAAGTGCCCTGTGGGTTTCCATTTGTCATTGGAGTGGAGTACGTAATGGTTTCTTTGTATAAACATTTCAATGATTTTGCATGGATAGGACGAGGAAGCATTGAATTTCTGACATGATTATTGCTTGCCAAACTGACATAAACACCTCTCCTCTCCTTTCAACACCTGTCAATCACATTCTAGCAAACATTCACACTTGCATGTATGTCATCAAATATTTCTACTAGAGTGTCTGAATAAACACTTATGCTTTCTCTCATTGAAGTACTATCGAAACCCCTTGTTATTTGTGAGTTTTCTTCTGATTTAAAATGCACTTATCATCAAATATTGCTTGTTTTCCCCAGGGGTCATCAATTGGACTATAACGTCAATGCAACCAACTATCAGCAATCTGGCATCTGCTGATTCCGTGATAAGCTCTAAAACTTATCCGAACCTTTGCTTTGCAATGCAAGCCCATTCCAGCATCTCATTTTTTGGTCTTGGCGTGGATAGTAGTGCTGCAGATCATCAAGACTGGTGCTTCTCCAATGGTTCTCATGGGAAAGCCACCTCCATTGTGTCCTGAAAGCTCATTCCCTTCAACTAGTAGGAGCAGTGCTGTTATGCATTACATGGAAAAGAAGAAGACACGCAAGTAAGAGTAGAGCTGTTTTTTTTTTTTACACTTCATTTAGGTTAAAAAAAGAAAAGAATATTGTGTGGACCTAGGAAGCATGGATGTGTATTTAATTCACTTTCAATTCTTTTTGATTGTTTAGTTCTTTGGTTTAATGGAAAGAATATTTTGAGGTTTGTGATAGTTCCGAGGAAAGAAAAACAAGAAAGTGTAGAAGAAGTGTTAATGTGTGAATGTTGAGATTTTATTAAGGGAATAAATGGAAAATAATGCATAAATGTTGAGATTTTTACAAATATGTCTTTATGTTTATTGTATATAATGTTGACACATATTATCCACATAATTATTTATACAATTGTAGGTTTTTTTTTTTTGGCGACAGTAAGAAGATGGTCACTAATACATTGTAGGTATTTTTTAAGCTCTTTTGCGACAGCAAAATATCAGTCGCTATAAGTAGGTTAGGCAGTCGCAAATAGTTTGCGACTGTTGTTTTGCAGTCGCAAAAAGTATATGCCACCCCCACATTCGCGACCCTCATTTGCTGTCACATGGGCCGTCGCAAAAAATCTTTTGTGACTGTTTTTTTATTATTTGTGACGGCTTATAGCGGTCGCAAAAAATACTTTTTTTTAGTAGTATATACTTCTCATTTCCCTTGAAAACTCTTTCTTCATTTACCAAAGTAATCTTCTCAAATTTTCTCAAAAAGTGGATATACTTGCACCGCATTTATTAAAAGTTTCAAATTTTCATGTGAGGTCCAAAATCTTTACCAACATTTTCCGCCAATGAGGTCCAAATATTCCTGTTCCACTTTCTAAATTTAAATTTATTTGTAACCTCTGACAGATTTTTTTTTAATAAAATAAATATTTTTGAAATTTTTTCATTGAATTCTATCAAATAATATTCATGTTGGGTATGAAATTCTTTTATAAAAAAAATAAAATTTTACATTATAACAAAATAAATCCTAATTTTTTAATTTGATCAATTTAAATCCCATTTGAAAATATTATGATTCAAATTGACAAAATTAAATAATCGAAGTGTAATTTGTTACAAGGGTCAAACTTATCATTTTTTTTTAAAATAATTTTTCCAAAATTATATTGTTCTAAGTTTAACATTTAAATAATAAAATCCTACTACATCCACCATCTCAAACCACCACACATACTATTACATCTCTAGCGAAAATATTAAAGAAATAATTTATCAAAACAATGAAAATGATGATATTAGCAAAGTAAAATTTTATTACGTTAATCTTAGATTGAATAGTAAAATTCCACAACAACTATCACAATTCACCACACTCATTGCCATTATTACTATCACCAATAAATATATTTAAAAATAAATTTATCATTATCAAAACAGTAAAATAATAAGATTGTGTAAAATTTTAGAGTGTTGACCTTACCTAAATAGTAACAAAACAACTTCCGTCTAGCATCGTTGATGGAAATTTTTATACTCATTATTATACAAAATAATTTTTATCAAAATTACCTGTTATCAGTCGACATATTATTTTTTTTTATCAAAATAATAAAATAACAATATTAAAAAAATAAAATTTTAGCGTGTTAGTTTTTTTGATAATTCGATTTTCGGCCTAATGGACCGACTAATCTAAGAGATCAATCCCACCGTCCAGTGGTCGAGACTCCAATTAAAGTTGAGACAAAGCCTCATATGAACTGACCACAAAAAATATTTATATTAAGCAGATTTTGAATTTGAGACCATGAAATGAATGCACCCCCGACCCCATGCTTTGACCACCATGCCAATCTATTGGAGTTGATTTTAGTGTGTTAATAACATTAAAATTTCACCACCAGCATTACAAAACCATCACACACATTTTTTTTAAATGGCAAATTACATCGGTAGTCCATATACTTTGTTACTTGTGTTATTTTAGTCTTTACAGTTTTAATTAGCTCAATTTTAACCCTTCATTTTAAATTTTGCATCAATTTGGTTTAATTGATAACGTTGTTAGGGTTTTTGACAAAAAACAAATCATTTAATTGGTTGAAGTTAAGTTACTGAATTGATTAAGTTTCTAATTTTACTTCTAAAAGTATAACACATGCTGCTCATGTACACATTTATAATAAAAAAAAATGCTACTAATTGTAAATAATTAGACCAATTTAAGACAAAATAAAAAAAATTGGGATCAAAATTGATCCAATTAAAATTATAAGGATCAAAATAACATAATAGCCAAAGTATATTCATATACTTTGGCTATTATGTTATTAGTACTAATAGTGTAATTTAACATGTCTGTCATACAGGAATTGTAACAATTGGTAACAAGAGTATATGCCCTGCTAATTGATGTTGATGGTGATCTGCCATGAAGGTTTTGACCTCATTAATGCTTGTGTATTTTATGGTTCTCGACACTTTATCCACAAATGGAAGGATAAAACAGTCCACAACTTCTAAATATGTGAGATTATTTGGTATAGTTTTTGTTGATAGTTTATTATAAAATTAAAAAAATTAATTTTTAAACGTCGAGTGAAGAGTGCTTTCAATTTCTACATTTGCATTATCAATTCTTAAACTTACTATTGCACCAAATAACACCTTTGATTAATTTACAAAGTGTCCTTTAACTCTCAAAAAAACTAAACCAAGGGATCTTAGCCACTAAATTTTGTAACAGAGTTATTTCAATTTTGTGTGGCACTTTTCACCAAATTATCCATTAGATTGCTTGCAGTCCAAGATTTGGACTCGATCAGTCCAGTCCGAACTTTTGGGCCCATCATTGGTTTCATTTTGATTATCATTTATTTTTTAGGCCTATATGTGCAGAATATCTATGAAAAAACTGAATTAATCTAATAATGAAAATTATATGATTGAGAAAATTACATTATCCTCGCCTAAGCTTTTGAAAAAAAATATAATAAGACCTACAGTTTTAACATAATTACATCGACCTTTATTTTAGCAAAGCTAAAGCGATCTTGATTAGTGTACATGGTATGAAGATACAAAGATATAATGTAAACTATACATTTCAGTATAAAAGTGATGAAAATATATGGCAATATCACTTTTTTATTCATATGATTAATAATTTTTGATAGAAATGCAATTAAGTGTCATGTGAATTTGAACCTTAAGAGAGTCTAATGTAACATTTCTTTCTATGTTTGGTTCATTAGAATGAAAGTGAATAGAATGAAATGTTCATTCCCCATTTCATTTACAATATATTTTTTAACATTTCTTTAGTGAACTAAATATGATAATGAACATTTTGATAGAATAACTATTTTGGTCCACTTTAATTTTAATGAACTAAAATTAGTCTTCATATCTTCTTGTTTAATTTTAATGAACTAAAATTACTAGACCTTTTAGATATGAGAAGAACTTTTAGATCCTGCACAAAAATTAGTCTTCATATCTTCTTGTTTAAATCTTGCTTCTGTGCTTATGTTTGTGCAGGCTGTTGTGTGGTATAGTTTGAGGGTGAAAAATGCTTCAAAAGTTATTAGACTCCACTTGTCTATCTATCTGTCTTTTCTACCTACTGACAGAAAGGAATGCAACCTAGAATGTAGGAAAATATGCAAAAAGGTATAAAAGTAAAAGTTTTTAGAGTGGTTTTAAACTAACTTGCTGAGTGTTCAAAGGTATAGAAATGGATGATAGCAGGAGAGGTGACCCCTTGGATCTCTCAACACAAAGTATTCTTATTAAAAGATATAGATATTAACAAATTCCTTTCCATTAATTGAAGAACAGCAGTTTACCAATTTATGGATGTTTTGTGATAATTTACCAATTTATGGGTGAAAACTGCTCAAAGGTGAAAGTTTTTCAAGAATTGTATGTACATGTTTCTATCACTACTCATTAGTTAATATGTTCAAAACATCAATGTGTCCATCATTTGACAAATTTAAGTCCAATTAAACAACCATTTCACAAAATTGAAACACGATGAAATTTATTGAAACTCAAATTTCAAAATTCTGGATGTCTAATGACACTAGGGTAATGCCCTTTTCTTTTTCTTTTTTTAATTGAGCGTCATTACAAAAAAAAGAAGAAAAAAAATCCGAACTAGGTGACTCATGCTACTAAGCCAATCAAATGCTTAAGCCAAAGGCCAACAACCCCTAAAACACCTACTAAGACGGATGTAGAACAATGACGAAGATTGTAGCAGCAACTAGACAACATTTCATAATGTTAGGATCCACTCCAAAAAAAAAAAAAAAAAAAACAGACAGCTAGACACCAACTAGGATAACAAAGCTGAAAAACAAAAACAATGAGGACTCAACAGCCTACACCAGCCAAACTGAGGCAGAACAATGACCAAGAATGCAATCCTGCCATATGAACTCATCCATCTTCCAAGTTGAATTAGTCCCTTTCATCATCCAAAGCTGAATCACCATGTACACCACTAAGAACAAAGAGCAAGAGAGCAGAGCCATGTCAAAAGAATACTTGAAAATCCATAGTTGCCTAACCTAGCAAAGCACAAAAGTCCATCACCTTTTAAAGGGAAGTGTAGGTCTTTGACTTCTTTCATCTTTACGATTAAATCAACAATTGTATAGCAAGGGATAGTTCAATGTGCTTTTAGCTGAGTTGCAACTTTCTCTTTAATTAACTCCAAGACATTTTCCCAAGAAGCTTCACCATTATTAAAGACAAGGTTATTATTTCTGGTTTTCCAGATGGTCCAAAAAATTGTCATGGATGGGTTTAGCCTCCCTTAAGAGCTTTTTGACATTCTTGAATTTGAATCCAAACCACAAATCAAGGCATTAACCGATGAGGAACAACCCATTTCATTACCCACCAAGACAAACAATCACCCCAAATTTCCAAGGTCTCCTACAACGTAACAAGAGATGATCCAGTTGACTCTGACTCATTCCGACAAATATATCAGAGTCCACAACAGGATTCATCTAAAGCATTCATTTTAACCAAAAAAACAACAATTCTAAAGGGGCGCAATGCTTTGCCACATAAACTCTGCTGCAGGAATAATACAACCTCTAGATGAGGCAAACAGGTTATGTAAAGATTTTACTGAGAAGTTACCTGATGGATCACCCCTCCAAATTAATTAATCCATTGATTGGCATTAAGCTGATCAATCTGTGGCAGCATTTTCAATAACCTATGATGGCATTCCTCCTCCTCGTCCCATACAAACAAAGTCTTCCTATGTGAGATACACATGTTATGAAATCATTAATGAGACCATCTTTGTTACATCATACACCCATTTATCAAACAAAAGAGAAATCTCATTCCATTTCCCCAATTTAAGTAGCACATTAATGGGGACATGTTCAGAAGAAGGAAAAAAAAAAAAAAAAACTGCATTATCCTTTAAGCAATGAAATTATGAAATATCCCATCTCTTGTTGTCCAATTATACTTTACAAAAATCACTCTTTTCCGAAAGGGGATTTGGCTCAGATGCAAACCTCCACCACCACTTAATCAAGAGAGCTTCATTCTTAATTTTTAGATTAGAACTACCCAGAACCATAAATCTATGTAATGAATCTTTCATCATATGAGATTATGCTCACTGTAATTATAGTCACGGGGTTAATATTCAATGTTTATTGGCTTGATTTGTTTAAACTTATGGTAGGCAGGAGGGCTGAGGAGGTTGTTGAAAGATTATAAAGTATTCCTTACTTTCCTTTTCCATTTCAGGCACAAAATTACTAATTTATGCAGTAACTTTGTTCATATGATTGAGATTAGAAGGTGAAATCTTCTCACCCATCTCTTTTAGAAAAAAAATTCTCCAGGTGGACATCACCTCAGCAGAACTTGTAAGTCTTAGATACTTCAATCTTTAGTTTGCTCCTTCACTCACTCTCTCTCTCGGAAAAACTCAGTTGAATAACCTAAAAAGGACATCTAGCAATCATTGCTGCAAAATGTGAAAAGCTGCTGAGTGTAACTGAAGCCAACCAAAACGAATCAAGTTTCAACACTCAGATTCTTTGATGAACAAAACTTCATTTTTTTTGGGAAGTCAATATAAATCAAAGATCAAAAGTAAATACATAATACAAGGAGCATACATGGGCAATACAAACAAGGATGGGAATTGTCTAAAGCAAGCAAAAGATGAGGACAATACCATTTAGCCAATCTAGGCCTTGTTTACATCTAACATGAACATATGTACAACAGATACAACATAAAGACCATGAGAAGATAGCAATAGCTGCATAGAAAGTCTAGAAAGCCAAAGAAGCAACAACAGTAGCATCAGCATAAACCAGTCAATTTACCACTGAGCTTTTATAGATGACACGTACAAAAGCAACAACAGAAAATACAGTATGATAAAAGAAGCAACCCGGTTTACCAAAAAAGAAAAAAAAGAAAAAGAAAAAGCAACACGACCAGAAGCAAGGAAACAACAACAACAATACAAAATCATCAAGCCACTGCATTCTTTAAATCAGATGCAACATTTACTTCACCGGATGCAACAGAAAATGATTGAAAGAGTTGATACCATCCTTTGGTAGCTCTTTTGGTTTCCCAAGAATAGCGGTAGCTGGGGCAAAGCAAATAAATGAATGTATTGAACCTGGAAATGAAAACAATAACAACAATCACAAATAAACATTTGACAAGCATCTACCGAAACTTACACCTTGAACAACTTCTACTAAAACCTGAAAACCCCACAGGTAAAATAATAATAATAATAATAATAATGATAATTGCTGAAAATTGAAAAGTAATTGGGTTATTGACTGCCACAAAACGGAGATCAAACAATATATGTAGACGAAGCAAAAAGACACCAATTATATATGGTGAAAATACATAAATTCTAGGTAAGTAATTGATGCTCCGACCCAAAAATTAAGAAAGAAAAAGAAAGATATGGTTGATTATTGTGATTAGGCATGTGATCCTGATTATGTTTGGGGTGTTAAAGTGAGAAAACAAATTACCATTCTGCAATATGATTTTTATTTTTTATTAAAAAACAAAAAGAGTTTATGAATAATAATGTGAATCATTACAATCAATAAATAAACAAGGGGAAAAGATAATAAAGAATAGAAAAAAATAGGCAGCATACAAAACCACCTTAAATTCCGAACTAAAAATAAATAGACCCAAAACCCCTCTATGAAGAAGAATGCAGTGGTTCGTTGGCAAGAGACCAACACTAAGAACACTTGAAATGGAATTCCCTTGTTTTTCAATAATATATATATATATATATAAGAAATTAATTTGGCCTCTTCATCTTCAACCTTCGTCAAGTTAGAGCGTCTCCAATCCTTCATCAATTTTTTCATCTACTTTGATTCCAAATTTGAATAAAATCGGCTCTTTTGATTTAATATGAAATACTCCAATCCTTACATCAAAATCTTTTTAAAAATTCCTCTCTTATCCCAATTTTTTCTTTTTATCAAATTTGATGGGGAAAAAAAATCATCTCAAATACTTCTTCTTTTTTTAATTTTTTTCAATTTCAACCCTTCAAATTCAATGCTTGTGATTTTTTACATTTAGAAGGGAAAACTGTGATGATAAAAAATAAAAAAAACATAGCCGAACCTCCCCTTCTATATATAAGTTTTGATAATTTAAGCCTATTTAAGTTTTGTATTTTGATAATTTTTTAAAAATTAAAATATTATTCTATGAAATTGAACAGAGTAAATCATATTTATATATATGATAGAATTATGTGGTATGATATGTATTATTTTTTGATTTGTTATACATCTAATGATGTAGACTCTAATTCTATTACCATATTATTTTGGGTGAATTTATAAGACTTTAACATTTCTTCCAAATTTATAAATAAATAAAAAAAATTATGTGTGTAACTATTCTCAACACATAAATATAAAACAAATATTAAGATAATTCTCTCATATAAAAAAAACTACTAAGATAATTCATTGAATTAATAAAGAAGCAGAAGAAAATACATGTATATACAAATAACTAATTTTATTAATACATAAATCATACTTGCATAACAAATAACCAATTTTATTAATAAGTAAATCATTAAGTAAATTAATAATTTTTAATGATATGAAAAATATTTTAGTTAGCCATTTTGTTAATAAATAAATTATTAAAGCAATTAATAGTTTTTAATGATATGAGAAATTTTTTTTTAATAAACAATTTTGATAATTTATTACTGCATTGGAGAAATTTTTTTTTCCCTGAATATTGTGTTAAATTAAAATTTATAACAAACAATAGTTATAATTTCTAGTATTATAGGAATGATTCATATTTTCAATAAACTTTATGGATGTATTTATAATTTGTTAAAAAATAAAAAAATTATGTTGCATAATTGACTAATAATATTGCGTAATTACACTCAAATTGTTTCACCAACCAAATTAAAGGGCAAAATAACAATTTGAAAATAAATTAAAGGCAAAATAAGAAAAAAAAAATGGCAAGCCACAAGCAGCAAACCGTCTCTTATATATATATATATATATTATAAGTAATACACAGGCTCTGTTCCGATGAGATGAGGAGATGCAACACTGTTAGCATTGATAAAAATAATAAAATAATAGTTTTGATATATTAGTTTGGGTGATTGTTGAGTACCTGGTAGTTTTGATTGCTCATATTATGAAGGCATCAGGAATGGGAGCTATGAGGGGCCAATATTGGCCTTTCCCCTTTTTACACCGCCGTTTCATTCTTGGACATCCGGAGATATGAAGTTCCAAAAGCGAGGGAAGCAGCCCTCCTTGCTCGGGAAAAGATGTGAGCCTAGGGCAATTTGTGAAACTAAGACGGTTGAGGTTTTGAATGGTCTCCATGGAAGAAGATATCTTCTCTAGATTTGGGAAATTACAAATCTGCAGATCCGTCAGAGAGGTGGGCAGCAACATCCCATCTACTGGAAAGCTGGACACCGAATAATATTCTTCTTCTTCTTCTTCTTCCGAATAATATTCTTCTTCTTCTTCCGAATAATATTCTTCTTCTTCTTCTTCTTCTTCTTCTTCTTCCGAATAATATTCTTCTTCTTCTTCTTCTTCTTCTTCTTCCGAATAATATTCTTCTTCTTCTTCTTCTTCTTCTGATTCTTTTGATACGTTACTTGGGCCTTGAAGAGAGAGAGTTTTAAGAGAGGAGAATCTGTGCAAACCCCACTCTGATAGGGGCTTACCAATCTTCATATTCTTGATTGCAAGATAAGTGAGGTTGGTGAGGAAATTCCCTTTCTCTAGAATGTAGGAGCAGACGATTCCTCCTCCTGCAGGCCAACTTTCTATCACCAGATGTTTAAGGGAAGGGAGGAGGCTGTTGTTGCATAAACTAGGGACCGATTCTAGTTTTTTGCAATCGCTGATAACCAAAAATGACAGTTTCGTTGGGGGGTGGTGGACCCATTCTTCCCGAAGGGACTCCAGATCATCACAACTGGTTATCAACAACTCCTCCAGATTAGAATCGTGCGCTGTCCACCCAGGTAAGGACCGCAGAGCCTCACATTTCGAAATCCGAAGTTCTTTTAGGCTAGGCGGAAAGCCTGCCTCTGAAAAAGATACCAGACCTGGACAGTACCCGATATCCATCCTTCGAAGAGAAGTGAAGTTATGTAACCCCCGTGGCAGTTTCTTCAGCTTACAACAACAATCTATCGTTAGATACTCAAGTTGATGTTGCCCTTCGTTTTCTACATCCTCGTCTTCTTCAAACAATGAAACAAGTTGCGCACAAAAACGAATTTCCAGACGTTGCAAGGCAAGGAGACAGGGTTGTAGTCCCGCCTCGTTCTGCCACAGTGTTGTGAGTTCGTCACAACAATCAATCTTCAATTCTTTGAGTCCTTTAAGCCCCTGGGTAAGCCATTTTGGCAATAATGCAAGTTTCTGAATCATCTCAATGCTCAAGGAAGTTACTGAACTCAGATGCTTAGACATTGCATTTGCCAACATCACTTCATCATGTATGCTTGGATTGCACAGGGACTCAGGGATTGAAACATTTCTAATATTCAAGCAAGTAAGGGAACTGGGTTCAAGCACATTACATGTATCAAGGAGCACCGGAAGGCTTGGAAGCCGAACATCACTCATGGACAGGGAGGTGAGTGACGGGAGAACAAGGCTGGAAGCTTCAACCAACAACTGCGGGCAATTTATAATCTCAAGAGTTTTGAGGCAAGGAAGATTACTCGGCAACGTTCCCACAAGTTTGGTACATTTTTTGATTGAGAGCTTACTAACACGAGTGAAGGTTTGAACTCCCTTGTCAATTCCAAAAATGTACCAATCCTCCCATTCCGACATATTCTCAAAACATAGTGTCTCGAGTAAAGGAAAAGGTTTGGCGCAATGCTGCCCATAGAACTCACAACCCACACGCTTTACAGCACTCATTCCTTCAATGTGAAGGTCTTTCAAAGAGGGTAGTTGTCCAAGTGGCGGTAAGGAAGTGCAATTTTTACAATTTTGTAACTTCATGCACACCATATTGGAGAACAAAGGATCCCCTGTCCAAGTTGGAAATCTCATGCCATGGTAGCCTCTGATGTATAGCTCTTTCAGCTTCTTGTGAGGTTTTAATATGTCAAGCACTTCTGTAACCATTTCATTTCGTAAATCATCCAAGCTCTCACTACTCCACACCATTGTTAGCACATCTATACCTTGCTTGTCGTTTAAACACACCCCTCTTGCATCCAAAGGATCAACCACATTTTCTATTCCCGATATGCAAAGTTTCCCTCCAAGATGAATCAAGTTCCCCAACTCACTTATCCGAAACCCATTGTCTTTCGTAACAATAAAATTGGATAGTGTTTGGAGGCTGGTCAACTTATCAATTCCTCGTGGCATTTCTTTTAAGGAATTTGAATCAATCATCAGGGCCGGCCCTGCCCTAAGGCAGGTAAGGCTTGTGCCTTAGGCCCCTTATTTTGGCCCAAAAATAGGGCCTCCAAATTTAAAAAATTGTTATAGGTTTAACCTTTTTTTTTTTTTTTTTTTGGTTTTAAGATCCATTTAAAGGGCCCAAAATGTTTTATTGGGCCCATGTATAATTTAGCCCATATTTATTTATAAATGTGTTTGGCCCATATTTATTAAAATGAAAATATATAAATAAATAAATAAAAAACAATAGGGCCCCTAAATTTGGCCCAAAAATAGGATCCCTAAATTTGGTAAAATATTATAGGCTCAATTTTATTTTTTTTTTGGTTTTAAGATCAATTTAAAAGCCCCAAAATATTTTTTTTGGTCCATGTATGATTTACTCCATATTTATTTATAAGTGTAGTTTGGTCCATATTTATTAAAATGAAAATATATATTAAAAAAAAAGTGTTTGGGCTCAAGAAAAATAATACATACAATATATGGGCCCTATTTTTTTTATTTTTTATTTTTACCTTCTTTATCTATTAGATTTTAGTGGAATAAATAATTTTGCTCAAATTTTTTTACCTAGGTCTTTATCAATTTTAATTGAATAATTTTTTTCTAATTTTTTTGTTCTAATTTTGTTTTATTAAATTGTTTTATTTATAATTTTAATGATTATATGTGTAAGTAAATTTTTTTATGGTTACAAACAAATAAAAAAATTGTAACTTATTGTTTTATTCATGAATTTTTTTCAATATAAAAGGGCCCCCATTTCCGAAATTCGCCTTAGGCCCCGACGAACTCAGGGCCGGCCCTGTCAATCATATCGAGATGACGTAGGTTGATTAGGTTTCCCATGTTCGCAGGCAATTTCCTCAGTTCTGGACAACTTCTTAGCATCAAAGTTTGTAGATTGTATAGGGTACCTAATGATTCAGGTACTGTTCTGATTCTGGTGTAGGAAAAGTCAAGATATCGCAAATGTTTAAAATCTCCAATTGATTTTAGAATAAGTTCGCCAATGTGAATAGTTGGAACAAGTTCGCCAATGTGATATCTATTCAAACTCAACACCCTTAAGCGTTTCATCTTTGGCAACAGATCAAGGGGAACCTTGCTTGTCAAATAACAATCTCTCTTTTTACTTAAGGACAATGGCAAGAAGGTCCTTACATTCTCGGCTTCATAAAAAGTTTCAAACTTTTTCATTGCGTCAAATTCGCTTTGCATGAAAGATGAATGTCGAGCACTCTTCAATTTTTTACGTTGCTCCTGATCCTTCAATTTATCCTCCAATCTAAAACAAGTATATCCTGCAACTGACTGAGCCAAATCATTGATGAGGTCATGCATCACAAATTTCGAGCTTTCACCACCACTTGATGGTTGGAAAAAAGACCTCGACTGCAGTTCACGAAAGTATTCAACTCCTAAATCTTCCATTCGCTTCGGTCCATTTTGTTGTTGAAGAAGGCCTTCTGCCATCCACAAGAAGACTAACTCCTCCTCCTCAAATTCATAGTCCTTTGGCAGTATAGAGCAATATGCAAAGCACCGCTTCAAATGTGCAGGGAGATGATGGTAACTTAATCTCAAAGCTGGGAGGATTTCACTGCCTTTTTCTGTTAAGTCCCATATTTTACTATTCAATACAATTTCCCACTCATCGTCTCTTTCTTTGCACCGTAAAAGGCCACCAAGTGTCCTAGCAGCCAAAGGCAAACCTTTACATTTTCCCACAATTTTCCTACCAATAGACACCAAATTTGAATTTGCATCCATGCTTCTATTCCCAAAGGCATGTTGTTCAAACACTGACCAACAATCATCATCTGATAGATGCTGTAGCAAATGGTTTTGAACGGTTCCCATAATTGATGCAACATCTCTATCACGAGTTGTTACAATTATCTTACTTCCTGACACTCCATCGTTAAAGGGACTCTTCAAAATGTTCCAATCATTGTATTTCTTGTCCCACACATCATCTAAAACAATTAAAATCTTCTTTCCAATCAAATTCTGCTTTAGCTGAACTTGAACTTCATTCAATTCTGTAAATTTACAAGCCTTGGAAGTAATAGATTCAAGAATTGCTTTTGATATTCTCATAATATCAAACTCATCAGAAACACAAACCCATGCTTTCAAATCAAAATGCTTGTTCACCACTTCATCGTTGTATACCATTTGTGCAAGGGTAGTCTTGCCGAGCCCACCCATACCTACAATGGGAATTACGCTGACTTTGCTATCACTTGACTCGTTGCTTAGGAGAAAATCAATTATCTCCTTTTTTTCCTTATCCCTACCACATATGCGAGGTTCATGTATCAAGGACGTGGAGGGTGATCTGTGCCAAGCTTTAGTAGATTCTCCTGCAACAATATTTTGTAAACCAAGCCCACGTCCTTCTTCAAAAATATTTTGCAATCTGTTAGTGATTTCCTCTATCTTGGAAGTAGAATTCCTCATAAAATCAGAGAAAAGAGTTGTTGGATTGAGTCCTTTACCCCATGTAGATATCATGGCCGGTAGCTTGTGCTTCTTGGTGCTAGCTTCTTGAGACACTGATTTTAACTCACACCCCAAAGCTTCAGTGGCAAATTCATCCAGTATGTCATCCAGATCATAAGCCAGGTCTGTGAGTTCCTCCAGCCACATTTTCACAGCTCTATTTTCTATTTGTTTCCCCTCCGCATCAGCCAAGAATGCTTGAATTTTGGCTAATTCTCCACTCCATCTCTTGATGTGAGTATGAACTTGAGTGAATAGTTCAGTTGAGGCCAACTTCTCAAACAACACCTGAATGAAAGCACCGAGAAAGATTTCGCCTATAGCCATTGTTTCCCTAGTGAAAATAAGGAAGTAAGAAACAATATTATATCAGATTTAGAGAAAGACACAAAAAAAACCAAGAAAAGCATGAAACTAAAAGTCTGATTGATTCTAGAATGAATTCATAATTGAGAGTAACAAAATGGATAGTCATGATTATTTCAGATGCTATTACGTGTTTACATACAGGCATATATTCTATCTTGTCAAAACCAATGGCTCAAGTTTTTTTTACCAACTATTCCACATGCCTGAAAGTAAAATTATTGGGGAAAAAAATGTATTGTATGATCCACAATCAAAAGTTTCATATAAAATACCATATAAGAATGGATAATTATTTAGTTGTTCGTTATGGTACTGTTCATGTTGTGTTCTCAGCCATTATGGGTGAGACCATACTAAGGCACTTTTATTACGTACTTGATAAATAAAGAATGATCCGTGAAGTGTATTTTGTGGTTTCACATTTGTCGGGAGGATCACATAAGTAATATCACATTGTATTCTAAGACTACCTAATATAGATACATATATATTAATAAAGATAATGTGACAATGATATTCTTAAAAATACAAATCTTTTTAATAAAATTTTATTTTTTAAAATAATAGGAAACAATGTCTCTTTGAAAAAAACATAATGAAGTTAAACGCTACTCTTTATCTTTCACTAGTTATAGTATAATAAAGGAATGTTCTTTATTTTGCCTAAATACTTTTTTATTTATATGCTACACTACTATTTATTTTTACTTATTTATTCAAATTATTTAAAGAGTCTCTCAAGACTCTCTAAATGTAGCCAGCTAGTAAAAAATTTGTTAAAATGACTAGTACAATAACTAGCCCGTTACAAAAAGTAAAATAGGACAAGACTAACTATAATAACAAATACACGTCTTTCAAAGAACCCATTGAAGGTACGGTAACACCATGTAAATAGCATAAATATGATGCCATTGAAACTTTCTTCCCAAACAAAAGTAATGGGCAGTTAATGAGGTCACTATATTATAGTCCAACAAAAATAATTATTAGAAGATAATTCATTGCCAGTCAATTGCAAGATATTCACTAACTATAAGCAATTAAGTCTATATTTGATAGATTAATAGTTCAATAAAATAGATAATTTGTCTTTTAGAATATCATTGAGTTTGAGTTACCCCTAGGGATCACTGGAGGTTCATCCGGTTGTTAATTTCATGACCGTGGGATTTGTCAAGATACACACAATTTGACTCGGACACAAGTTATAAAAAAAAAAACAATGGAGAAACTAAATGACAATACTACAATGCTATCTAACATTACTTTATTCTTATTTATTTAGTTTAATCCCATTGGGTGAAAATTTGAAATAACAATTTGTAATTATCAAAAAATAAATGCAGTGTCGAGGCTTGCTAATTATCCTAATTTTATCAATAGGTGATAAATGAATTTTTAGGTGATGTGTCTCATATAATAAGTTAAGACTGTTGCTGATAAGAGCAGAAAGTTTAATAAGATCTCTATGCTGGTCATAGAATCCGAGATTAATTTCAAAATAATGAAACTCTTTCTTCATCAAAAACTTGTTTGATAAAATTGCAGAGATTATTATATGATTTCTTGAAGGGTAAATTACACTTCTAATTTTTTATTTATTTATATTATTATTTGCACTCCTCAGAAATTTCTATTGCTACTCAAGAAGTCCTGCAGGTGTGAACACAAAAGTTTGTTGAGTAAATGTAGGCGTGCCTAGTTCAAGGTGTAGGAATTGTTAAATATTTCTAACTTAGAACACAGAGCAATGACTGTGTATGGCTAAGAGGAATCGTCATTGATTCGGATCTTGCCCCAGTGAAGATGACTTTTAACAAATTTATAGGTGCCAAAGATAATTAGACTAAAATTGTGACTTGCATTGATTGGAAATGAAGTACAATTGATAATCTACGATAACTAAGCTAAAAAGCTAAAAGAACTAAGCTATGAAGATATGATAAGTAAGCTATGAAGCTAAGCTAAGGTAATGAAGCTATGAAGTTAAGATAAATGACCTATCAAGCTAGGATAAATGTATTGAAAAGTATGTGTTGAAAGACTCTTGATCAAGTATTTGGTCAGGGATCCTTTGAATGTTACACTTAGAGCCCTTTATATAGTGTTGGGAAAGCCCATATTTCTACTCAACTACCAGAAACGTGGCATATATCTCCTTAACCTCTGCCCTAAAATGCAGAGCCACACCTCTCTCTTCATATCTATTTTTCACTATAATAGGGAATGAACGAATTTATACATGATGTGTGAATACATATGTTTGTGTACAATGTACACATGGATTTAGATCCTATATATTACATGTTTGGAATTGAAATTTTCATTTAATGCATTAACTTGTAACATACTGTTAAAATTCAGAATCATCCAACTATAATTGCTACACTAATTTGAATTTAACTATTCTTAAATTTAAGGAAAAAAAATATATTGATATAACTCTTTCACAACAGTTAATAATGAATAGATATCTCCATTTTATTAATGTAAGAGAGAGAATCTGAATTTTATCCTATTTGTACATTGAGGTGTATATATCTTGTGAATATTATGTTTATATGTAATATAACAGTTTTTGACAGTGATACATTTAAATGAGATCTAGTTTGGGAGTTTGGAAGTTGTGGTTTTGTTTCATGATGAAGATATTGAATCAAGTTAAGTCCAATCAAGGATACAAAATTGAGTGGGCCCCAAACGTCTTTTAGAGTGGGTCCGAAGAGGTGACGTGTTCCTTGCCGCGTGGCAAGTCACACGGTGTAGACGGGACGTCAAAACCATTTATAAGTAAATGGGAATTTAACGTCGTTTTAGGGTCTAACATTAATTTGGAAATAAAATAAAATTTTTGTGAGAATTTAATTTAAATTTAAATTTTAGTTTCCTAAAGATTGTACATTTTCATTATTGATTAAACTATTCAAATAGTTTAATAATATTATTCCAAACAATTTGAAAAACTGTTCCACTAATGGTTTTTTTTTTTATTAAACTATTCAAATAGTTTAAATAAAAAAATATTTCAAAAAAATATTTCAATAGTGTTCAAACTTTGTCTCCAACGGCTACTTTTTCTTTTGTTTGAATAATAGTGTTCAAAGTGCAACGGTCAGAATCTGTTTGAATTCAAAACAGGTCGCATCTGTTCACTTTCAGAACTGAATCTGTTGGATAGATTCACACCTGTTCGGACAAGGTTTTTTGTGCCTATAAATACCAATGTTCCAGCAGTTTTTTACATACGAAAAAAAATCAGTCTGCATGTGTTGATATTGCTGTCCAGATTTTATTTAGTGCATTTTTCTTCATTCTAGTTTTAGGAAAAAATCAAAGAGAGTATAGAACACAGGCTCTAGTTCGCCGAACAAATTTGTTTGAAGTGCTTCTACAAATTTGTGAAAATCATTGTATCCTGGGAGATAGACGCTAATCAACCGTAAGCACCGAAGCGGGGCGAATCTGTCTTAAGGACAGAGTGTCACACACTCGACTTGGTCTTTTATTTTTGATTCGGTTCGATAAATAAATTCGGTACGTTATTTATTTATTTTTTTTGGATTTGTTTCTATTTATTTTATTTACACAGAAGATTGTTTCAACAATCTTAAGACAGATTCGAATTATTCTGTTTACAGAATTTTTCGTTTGTTTCCCTTTCTCATTCTTCTTTTACAAGAAAATCATTTTCTATGGATTTACAAAATAATATTCTGGTTGGAAAAACAAATAGTGATTATATGCTATTTGACAGATAGTAATAATATACTGTCTATTTTCTTTGACAACTAGTAGTACTATACTGGTGTCATTAACAATTTAGAATATATTTTTGTGAAATTTTTTCAGAAATTAATTTTGGTTTTTAGAAATTATTTTTTGAGTTTTCATTAATTAAAATTTTGTTTCAGTATTTTAATTATTGAAGTGAAACAGAAATTTAATTTTCTGTGTGGAATTAATTTGGTTAAATAAAATTTTATTTTATTTCTAAATTAATTGAAAAATAAAAGTTACATTCTGGTTTCTTTTATTTTTACAGAATTTAATTATGTGAATTTGGTTTAATTTTCTGTGCAGTGTAAATTCTAATTATAATTTTGTTTTATAAATTAGAATTGATGGCTACTGAAACTAATGCCCAAACAAGTACTACTGTGGTGGCTGCAATGACACCAACCCCTTCTCCTGTTGTAACAGTACCGGTAAATCACGGTGAAAAGCCAGAAAAGTTCTCAGGAACTGACTTTAAAAGATGGCAACAAAAAATGTTGTTCTATCTTACAACTCTGAACCTGGCTCGTTTCCTCCGTGAGGATGCTCCTATTTTGAAACAGGATGAAACTGACCGGCAAGTGGTTGCTGCGGTTGATGCTTGGAAACATGCTGATTTCCTTTGCCGGAACTACATCTTGAACGGGCTTGGCAACACATTATACAACGTCTACAGTCCTATCAAGACAGCAAAGGAACTTTGGGAGTCTTTGGAGAAAAAATACAAAACGGAAGATGCCGGCTCAAAGAAATTTGTGGTTGGCAGATTCCTGGATTTTGTAATGGTTGATTAAAAAACTGTGATCAGCCAAGTTCAAGATTTCCAACTCATTCTGCATAACATTCACGTAGAAGGCATGTCTCCCAGTGAATCCTTCCAAGTTGCAGCCTTAATTGAGAAATTACCACAAAGTTGGAAGGAATTCAAGAACTACCTCAAATACAAGCGCAAAGAAATTTCTATGGAAGAATTAATTGTGCGTTTGAGGATTGAGGAGGACAATCGCAATTCTGAAAAGCGGGCTGGTAAGCATCCTATGGAGTCTAAGGCAAATGTGGTGGAACATGCTTCAAAAACTAAGAAATGAAAGACTTCTGGAGAAAATTCATCACAAGGCTCTAAAGGGGGGAAAAATAAAAAGTACAAGTTTAATGGCAAATGTTACATCTGTGACAAAGAGGGACATC